CTGTCTATCAATTTGTAGTGTTTCAATGGACTTTGAGGAAAATTTCATTATTTTCATAAGGTAAAGCCCGTTATGCATAAATTATCCTACGTTTCCCAAATATGATTTTTGAGTCTGAAAAAAAAATCCTAATATACAGTGTATTTGCTTATATTTCCATTCAATTGTTAAATAAAATTGTAGATTTAGATTTTAAAAATGAAGACTAATAGATTTAAATTAAACGAGGCCTCCCATGTCAGTTTCAATAGTCTTTGCCTCTTGACGTCAAACACAAAGACAGCCGCACAGGATTCACATGCATATTTGACCTCCTCAGCACCAAACACAAAGACAGACGCGCACAAGATTTAAATGCATACATGGCTACGTTAAATCACATGACCTATGGATTTGTAATGTACATTCCTTGATTAGTGAAATAAATCAACTCTTTTTCTATCATTGCAGACCATACACTTGCCGTGTGCTACTTAGTCATGATTTTGTTGAAATTACATTCCGTCGTCAATTCAAAATTGTCCATACACCTTCATCTGCACACGGAGTTGATATCAGTTGATTCTAACGCAATTAGTTGCTCTTGGTATGAAGGGTTTTTTAAAACGAGGTAAATTATTGACAAACAAGTTGATGAAACAAGAATTTCAGCAGTCTTTTTTGGTATGTTCTATGGTCGATACAATGACCTTGTAAGCAAATACAATTTATTATTGAGTCAAATATAAAAACTTTTTAATAAATGAAAAGTTCGCCATTATTTATACAATTTTGACGTCGATTTTCACATTATATCTTGTTTTGACAAAAGCAAAAAACGGTTTTGATTTAAATTGGTATAGGATTCTCACTCCTCCATGTATTCAACCTCTGAGTTTTGGTACAGGTAAAGTTGAACCTTTTTCTAAAGATTTTCTTTTGATCTTACTGTCATTCCAATATTATTTCAAAAGTAGAACATGTTTTATACAGGGATATCAAGTTTTGACCTAAGTTATATGCATATATCCATATGCAGGTGATGAAGGTATATTGCTGCATAAGTAACACTTTTAATATTAAAGTTAAAGTCATCACGTTTATCATAGATTTGGCTGTTAATTGTATATTAATGTTTTTTTAAAGTAACTGACATCATTATGTGAAAATTACAATTGTTAATTAAAAATACGTCGAAGATATATCTAAATGTCTAGTTGAAGGCTACAACGAGTGTTTTCATCTTTTCACGCAAAAGATTTTGCACAAATTTTGCTTCATATGAATACAAAAATAGGTCTGCTAATAACAGTGCGCAGTTGGTATACCAGGGATATATCTTTTGATTGTTAGGATTCTGATCTCCAAAAACAGCAAAGTATACATGGTAGGTCAAATTTTTTGATTCTTTGTGTGTATTTTAAGAATGTTTTAAACAAAATACTTTTGCAAATGACCAATGACAAGGTAAGTAATTTTACGAGTTCCTGTTTTTATTGAAAAAGCAGCTGTCAATGATATCAAAAAGACTAAACTTTAATCGTGGGGAATGATTGTGTATAAAGTTTAAAAGTCATTAAATTTTTAAGCTGTTGATTTTGGTAAAGTCTTGTGATTTCAAATTGTCCAAAAGTTCTTTAAAATTTTTAAGTATCCACATCCACCACTTCTTGAATATATTGAATTTACGTATAGTAACTCATTTTGAGTTTCTGAGGTTAAATATAATGAAATTAACATTTGTTATAACGAACTTTCAAAGATCTTAAAATTTACTAAATATGAATCTGTATTTTTAAGGATTTGTATATAAAATTCAATTCATATATAAAACCTTAGTTCAAATTCATTTTGTTTTGTAATTTCAAAATATTTGGTAAATACTATGAAGGAAAAAAACCATATTGCTAACTCGCTACAAATGTTTATACGAATTCGTTATACGGATATAACGAATTACAATATAGCGAATTAAATTAAGTTCCACTTCGATATAACCGACTTTTACTGTAATGAGCTTTAAATAGCTATATAGCTTTACTAAGCTATTCAAAACAGCTTTATTTAGCTATCGATATGTAGTTTTTCACAAAAAAGTTTTTTTCAGAAATAAACAAAAAGTCGCATGTATTGGCTCTTCGTGTACATGTATGTACCGTGGGCTATCAAAACAAGAACCTAGTCAAAGACAGTTCTAACATTGCAGTTTTTGAATACTTTTAAGCAAAAAAGAGAATTTCTATCGTTCGAGTAACTATCCACTACCCTGTATGCGTTGAGTTATAGATATGAGTGATTGCTTCTCATATTGTTGTACTAATTTAGTTTCAATCAAATATCTAGTTGACCATAATTGGTCTCCTTTATAAATTTATTGCAGAAGCAACTGTATCAATTGCGTTATATAGCCCTAAAACGTCAAGGAGACGTACTTTGATGAGAGATGTTTACATTAATTATTTTCAGAAGAGTTCAAGATTTAATATCATCACTGCACCAAGCAGCTGAGAAAATTACACAGTTAGGGAAAAAGTGAGGTAAAATAGCTAAGTTAAGTTAAGCTACGCTAAGCGGCTTAATCAAGATGTATAGATATATAAAGCTATATATCTTAAATCAAGGAGATTGTACTGGACTTGTCAAGGTAAAGCTTGAAAACAACAACATTGCAATCAATCTAAAACCTTGAACTATTAAGAAAAAAGTCGTATTTCAGTTTATGGCATAGTTTGAAGTTTCTCGAATGCATGAAAAACTTCAAGGTCAAAAGGTAAAAAAAAATTCTGGTATACAACGACAGGACTTGTCAGAAGGAATAAACCTGTGAAATATGAAAGTTATAGTACGAACTTTTTAAAATTAATTGCCAATTAAATTTTTTTTAGAAAATGGTTCAAACACTAAATCAGGTAAAAAATAAAATATTCAAGCCCTAGCACTAATTGTTCCAAGTTATATCCAAGGTGAAAGATATTTTTTTTTGTAAATGTGGGTCAAACTCCAATGTCAAGAGGTCAAATTTGGAGGTTCCCAAAGAAAGGTCTTGTTACAAGAAATGCACCTATAAAATGTGCAAGCCATAGCCCACAGACTCAAAAGTTATGGGCAATTAAGGCTAATGCTTTTGCAGACAAATGAACGAACAGACAGACAGACTGGAGAACAGGACAAAACCGGATATAATTTAACTAATCACGGGTAATCAGGATAACAAGATGTAGTAATCTTCATATATAATCGATAACTTCCCAAGGTGGATGTTATTACCTTTTCATTAATGAATAATTATAATAGTTAATATTTCTTTTTGTTTGGCGGAAAATAATTCATCAAATGTTTTCTTTGTTCCTTTTTTGAACATAATAAGAAAAATCATTTCTTTTAACAAGAAAGTTTTATTATATTTCTCAAGATAAAAAAAAACTAGTTTTCGTGGCACTAGGTTGCGTCATTGCTTCATGTAATTAAACGTTAAATCCTTACAGATGTGTTTTACCGTAAAACATTAAGAGGGTTTCTCACATTACTGAACTATTATTTAACCATAATAATAAAACCATTTGTCAAAATTTTGTAATAATTAGGACTATTTCTGTTATTGAGATGTATAAATACTTTTAAAAAACATGAAAAAGGAAACGTTAAAGTAAAATCCAGCAAGCTGTCTCCATGAATGGCAGTAGAACTTTCTGCTGATAACTTTATGCTGTAAAATAAATATAGAAGTAAGGTAGGTGTTTTTCATGAATTTCAGTGTAAAAATTTATATCTGTCGATCTCTTAAATATTAAAGCTTCCATTATTTTACTTTTTACTATTCTTTTCAGAGAATTGAACCTTTGTTGTCAAAAAAATTAGATTTTTGGAGGGCCATAAAGACCATAATTTTACTTTTTACTAAATTTAAATAGTGGAAAAGTGAAACTTTGTTGTCAAATATGCTTTTTCCTAATAGTGGAAAAGTAAAACTGAGATGAAAAGTGAGCTCGTCTAAGTTTTATGGTCCCCAGGCCTCGTGCTTTGTTTTTAATTGTTGATTGATTTATGGATTGAAGACTGTTATGTTCTGTACCCTTTTCACTGTAGATTGTGTCATCAAGATGTATCACTACACATATTTTTATGTTGAATAGAAGAAAGTTTTTTCTCATCTTCATTTTTTCCTAAACGACAGCCCCCGTTTTTCATATTCCTATTTCCCATTTGTTTAACTTAAGTGCTAAACATGAGGATGATAATCGTTTGTTTATTTTTTTATCGTTCCTTTGAAATTTTTTTACTCATATTGAGACGTCCAGTTGCCTCTAATCGGCACTTACGGCCTTAGAGCAGTAATACATCTGTTTACTGCCTACCGTTCACAGTAGTTGAGTCGAAAGAGCGCTGACGGCTCTTGATCGAAAGGTCGTGAGTTCGAATCACGGCATCGACTGACCTAAGTCGATAAAAATGGGTAGCAACTGTTCCTTCGTTATGCGTTTGGCACTTTGAAGTGAGAGTTGCAGGTCCTTCGGATAAGATCTAACGAGCCCCCGTGTCACTGCAGGCATTGGCACGAAAGAGATCTCTCACTTCTAAATGGCCTCTGAGTTCTGAGAAAAAGCTAAAAAAAAAACTGAAGCTCTTCACTGCTATATGGTAAAGTCTCTAAACGAGTGAAAAAATTCTCGAATAAAACGTAAAACAACATACAATCAATCAATCTTTTCAACGCCAATACATTCACTGTACTGCGACAGGGGATTTGGAATTCAAGGACCTATCTCCGCATCCTGCAGAGGGATTCGAACTCGCGTCGTAAAGATCAACTTCTTATTCCGCGACTCGATAACAAAGTTTTAACGTTCTAACCACTGCGGGAATGACACATGAATGTTCTGAAAACGAAAGCATCTTTATTATTTAAAATTAAAAGAAAGAGTTTTCTATGACTTTTACTTATAAAGGCATCGTTTGCATACAGGTTCGTTATCTCCAAATATTTCATTGGTATTTTTTTTTCTGTTCGTTTATAGATAAAAATGAATTCAAGTGGCAGCGTTGCTGATGCACAGAACATCCAATATGACCCAGTAGATATTGGCACCGAACCATCCATTGTTTTTCTTGCCATTCTCATGGTCACTGGTACGGTGGCCAACGGCCATGTTTTTGGAATCTTCTTTTTCCGTTATAAAAGAAGGTCAACATACGTCATTTTCGTTCTTGCTCTGGCTTCAATCGACCTGCTTATTTGTGTTTGTGACCTTCCATTAGAAATATTGGATCTGAGGTACCCGTATAACTTTTATAGTGAGGTAGGATGTAAACTTTACAAGGTAGTGAGTGCAACATTGATTTTGAGTTCTGTATTTACTTTGACACTCTTGTCACGTGATCGTTTCAAAAGAATTCGCCAACCTTTAAGTCCACAATGGTCGAATTCTACATGTAAACGATATATATTAGCAGTGATATTGCTAGCATTTATTCTTGCTGCCCCCGTTACGTACATCCATGGTCTACACGTGGTGAAACTCTCTGATGGTACTGAAGTCGAAAAGTGTTTCTTTGAAGACGACATTGACGTAAGATATAACCTTCCTTTAATACATCTTTCTGTTCTTTACCTGATTTTTATTGGATGTTTGGTAATCCTAATCGTGAATTATACTTGTATCTGGATCACTGTTTATAACCGAAACAGGAAAACGTTGTTCCATCAAGCAGGCAATAAAAGAGAAATGTTACCAAATGTAAGCAAGGAATATCGAAATTGTTTAACTTCATCTGCAGTAAGCGGAAGTCCTGATGGGGTCATCTCGAATAACCCTTCTGGCGATTCAGCGGAAATGGACTTGCATCCTTTGAGAAAAATAGACAACATTCACACTTTTCAGGGTCGAAGATTGAAAGTGTTTCCGAAAATTCAGAAGAGAAAACTCTTCGTTGGCAATCATCGTTCAACAGTTATAATGTTTATAATAACCGCCATCTTCATTGTCGTCTTTCTACCCTATCTTGTGCTTGGGGTATTTTTGTGTTTGAAAGAAAACTTTAAAGCTAACATGAATGAGGTAGAATTAAGTGTATATCGCCTTTCAATGAGACTAATGTTTTTGAACAATGTTGTTAATTGTTTTGTGTATGGTATTTTCGACCCCAGATTCAAAAAAGTCTGTAAAGAATTTTATAAAACTTGCATTTGATTTTATCAATTCAAAAATATCTAAACATGTATCATATCATTTGTTCATTATTAAGACTATCAGATTTGAAAGTAAACCTTCTGTAGTAACTGTTTATCTGAAAGAATGAAAATTTCCAAAAACGTTCGAATTCATAAGTTTTTGATTATGTCCTTTGTTGTAAAATGCTTAATAACGTTTTTCACACTAATTGTTGGATCATTATGCACACACTGAATTGTCGACGGATTTTCCCGTCATTTCCCGATCATGCAGGAGCACACTGCAGGGGACGCTCACTCCTCGATGGCACCTGATCCCACCTCTGATGTATTGAGGTCCGTGTTTGCTCTGTTATAATTTTCTTTAGTCTTAAATAGACCTTTGAGCTTGAATACAGTTCGTTATCTCCATATATTTCATCATATTGATTTCTTAGTTTTATTGATTTTTATCCCCAGAATATTTACATTTATAAGCTAAATATTAATAAGTATATAGGTACATGTGCATTTATCAATACAAATACCTAAAAAATATACAAGTCATAATTTTTGTGCTATTTTGCTGGACAAAGCACATTTCCTAATCCATCAAAGAATTCGTTTGAAAGAAAGAAAATTTGATAAAGTCCTGAACTAAATATGTATTTTCTTTTTTCATAGCAGGATATAATTACTTTTTGCTTGTACTGTATTGCATATCAATTAAAACCTAAATATGATTTATTATTCACTTAAGTAAAAAATATAACCCAGATCCCACGAAAAGCTATTCACAAGCAAAATATATACGGCATCATTCTTGTGTGGGTGCTATTAATACTTAAACAATCTATAAAATATCAGTTGAACTTTAAAACTCTTATATGAAAACGATGCTGGAGTTTCTCATTGGCAGCATTTATTTTGTCTTCGGATAAAAATTCTGCTCATTTTTTGCTTACCGGCCTGTTTTTATACATGTACGTATTATTATCTATTATTGTGAATTTTTTTTTTCTTCAAAAAACATGAGAAGTAAACAATTGTTGTGGTCCTTAAATTGAATTCAGATATATTGTCGACGTTTTATCAACTACAATACTTTATTTTCATGTAATATACATTGTATTTCGACATGATATATCCCATAGTTCACTGAAATAAAAGACACCACATAGTTGACCATATCTGCTTCATGTTTAGATGTTTTACTGACTATAGACGAAAATGGCCAGCTAACAACTAGACTGTATTACAAACGAGATAACTTCAGCTTTTTTTTTATTGCTAACTTTGTTTAGAAGATGATTTTCCCAATGTACATGTATTTCTATGTTGAACTTTGATCTCCCATTGTGGCCCCACCTTACACCCTGAGGAGACGATTTTATTTGAACAAACTTGAATCTATATACAATGTCAAGAAGGTTTCACACACCGTTTTTCACTCAGAGAATCAAATGAAGAAGATTTTTAAAAGATACCACCAAATTTTCACTATTTCTTAACTATCTCCATTACGAAAGGGAAATGACCCTTCATTTGATCAAAATTGAATTCCCTTTACACAACGTTATATTCTGCTAAGATAAGTTGAAACTGGTCCTTTGGTTTTGGAGAAAAAGAAAAAAATTGTGAAACCTTTTCGACAACAACGGCGATGGACAAATTACGATCAGAAAAATTAAATTTGTATTGAGATAACGAGCAGTATTCAAGCTCAAAAGTCCATTCAACAATATAAAACAGGAGCAGAACAAACACGGACCTCCAAAACATCAGAGGTGGGATCGGGTACCTTGGTGGAGTGAGCATCTTTTTCATGTCTACTTCAGAGTACCTGGTCACACCTGCCAAAATGTGCTCCCAATGACATGATTTACGAGAAATAATTTTGTTGTTGTTGTTGTTGTTTCTTTGTTCGGAAAAAATGGACAATGTAATGTATAAATAATTGCCTAACAGTTAGAAAAAATTAAAATCTTACGTTTTAACAGTCAGCATTTGACTCAAAGGTGAATTGCATTTGCTGACAAGGTACAAATATACATGTAACTGTATCGACCATAGAGCTTACAAAATTATATGAATTTGCTGACAAGGTACAAATATAACTGTATCGACCATAGAGCTTACAAAATTATATGACTTTGAACGAGACAGCTGTTATTCTTTTTAATCAGCTTGTTTGTCAATAATTTACCTCATTTTAAAATTTGTACATACGTCGAACATACTCTTGCGTATCGCATCAACTGGGAGATATAAACCCCGAATGTAGGTAATGAATGTATATTGCTGCTTAAGTAAGGAAAGTTGACGATTGAATTACCATTAACGTCTTTTTCATGTAAAATATCCAAATATAAAACAGATGTGTCAGACTCTGTGGTATATTTTATCTCAATCTCAGCCAGATATATCGTACCTACATAAGAATGAAAAAACAGAATATTTATTGACAATATACGTCTATATATCTAAATGTCGAGTTGAAAGCTACAGAAAGTATTTTTTCTTTTTATATATAAAATTGTGGACAAATTTTGCTTTATAAGAATTTTAAAAAATGGGTCTGCTAATAATGGGGCGGAATTGGTACTATAACAACTCTGAAAGATTGTTGGAAGACCTGGTCTCCAAAAACCACATAGATATTGTCAATCAGAAAGTCAAGAATCTTTTTCATGTCTACTTCAGAGTACCTGTGTGTACAATCAGAATGTGTTTTGATAAAATAATTTTCCAAATGACAAATGACAAGGTAAGTAAATTTACAAGTTCCATTTTATTGGGCTAAATATTTCTATTTTGTTGTTGTCTTTGTTTGCCCCCCCCCTTTTTTGTGTTTCAATTCATGTAATGTTTTGGCTTTTCAAACAAACCATACATTAATGTAAAGGAATTTACATTCACATTTCCAATCCAGCTAGAAAAAATAATAATGTCATGAAGGTTTTAACAAACTTCGTTTAGTACTTTAAATTTGGGACTTACTTCTCTTTCGATATGTAAAGAATATATGAAATGTCCCAAAGACCAACACAAGGAACGAGTATTGTCATGTAAACCTTTATATTTTTAAAAGTTAAAATGAAACTAGTATGAAATTTATAATTCAATGAGTAAATAATGGCGTAACAGTTAGTATGAAAAATGTCTGTCAGTATTTGATTCAATGATGAATTGTATTTGCCGACAAATTTATTGTATCGACCATAGAACTTAGGAAATGATGACTTTAAACGAGTCTGATGATATTCTTGTTTCATCAACCTGTTTCTCAATAATTTACCTCGTTTAAGAAATTGTACATATATAGAGCATGCTCTTGCGTATCGAATCAACTGAGAGAAATAAACCTCGTACGTAGGTGATGAAAGTATATCGCTGCATAAGTATGAGACTTATAGTTTTGCGGACAAAAAGACAAACAGACAGACGGAAGGACGGATAGGGCCAAAATTATATACATCCGAGTCTTCGAGTACGGTGGCATAAAAAAAGAGATAAACTTTACAACTTTTAATTATTTCTATTTTTTACAGTTTTTGTATAAAATTGTAGCGCTAGCAGCGCATTCGTTCGAAGATGTGTTTAATTTTTTCTCATGTAAATACTTGTTCGTTTATTTTGAAGATTTAATTCAATTCAGGTCAGCATAGCATGTTGATCTTAATGTCGTTTTATAAATTTTGTCTTTCAAAAACGTATTTAGTTAGAGACCCCTTCTTTAATTGGAGTTAATATTTAGGCTGTTTTTATTTGTCATATTTTTCTTTACAAATTAGTAGAGCAAAACACAACTTTCAAAGATGTTTAAATAGTTCATTCAGGTTGTTACTTCGACCTAGTTTAAATTTCAACCTCTTTATTAAAGGAATAACAAATACTGTAAAAGGTTTTTTTTCTCCTTAGCCCAATGTTTGCGAAAATATTTAAAAACAACGTGATATTCATTAATTTACTCATTACTTTAAAAAAAATTATCCAGTTGTTAAAAAGAGTTATCCTTGTATTCTGTAAGGCAAACAATGAGTAAAAACTGCATGAAAATTTGTCGCGATCAAGAAATGTTCACAAAGAAAGAGAAAAAAGAAAATCGTAGTATCGAGAAAACAACCCATTATATGGAAGACAAGTTAATATCTTTTTAGCTTTTGTAATTTTTTTTTTCAAGAAAAAAGTAGCCAAGCAATAGCATAATTTGTATGTATTTTTTCCTTTTTATGGATGAGGATATACATGAAGTATATTTTCAATTGATGCCTCATACCACATTAATGAATTTTTTTTACAAAGTCTAAACATTTTACAATCACTGTAGATATGTACTTGTTTTCTGTTCACGAGAAATCATTTAAAGACTAAGCATAAAAAATGTTATTTTCTCTAAACACCGAGTTGGAAAGTTGGAAAGGATATGCCAACGCATGTAATTTGATCTGTTCTTTTGTGCTGGATGTTTTTGTAAATAGTTAATTTTAGATGTCGAACATAACCAGTTTGCCAATAGTATTTATATTCAACTGTGCGTTCACTAAAAAAAAAATTCTGAAGATTGATTTTTCCGAAGAGTATAAATCTCAGGTTCACTGTAGTTTCGTTTTTCAAAAATATATTTGATTTACTGATATCACGACTCAACAATAGCCCCTGTTTCAATACGCAAATTTTTTGTGTCAAAATGCAATATAAGTTAGTAAATATGCTACTTAGATATTTACACATGCAAAACTAAAGAAAAGCATTTGGTTAAAAATTGGAGACAAAGTTTTCTTGAATTATCAAATATCTTTCACATGTGACATAACTGCTAGATGCAACTTAAATGTATTTATACTGATAAACAAAATATGTATATTAACGTGGGTTTGACATTCAACTTATTGATGTTTTCATGCAAACTAGCTGATGATTAGTTTCAACTTATCTCTTATGTCAAGATTGGTAAGTTGCCTATGAACATACATGTAAATACGTCGCATATTAACATTTTGTCTTGCATGTCATCTAAGTTGCATGTTAACATAAATAAGTTGCATGTCCACAAAAACTTATTTGATTTTTGTGAATTTTTGAAAATCCCCTAAAAGTTGATCTGATTAAAGATACAAATTTCTAGCAAAATAGTTTTTGTTTAAAA